ATTTGAGAACACTGAATAATCTTTCCACCTCAGTCTTTGAAGAAGGAACTGCTAGCAAAAGTGAAATGACAATTACAAGGTTTTCGTAAATGAAATTACCATGATAATCTTTCATGGTACATGAAGTACCTGTATATTACAATACAAGTAAGTTCTGGTGACATCAACGAAAATAGGTAAATAAAAATTTGGCGGATTATACTTATTGGGATTCTGGGGAATCCCTAAGAAAAAGCAGTGGCTTAATCTATGATTTACTTTACTAGAGGGTTACTGTTGAATCAAACCTTTATAGTTTTTATACACAACTCTGTTTTATTCTTTTACTTGTCAACTCGACTTAATGTCATTCTCTCTCCATAAAATAAAATGTTCATTGTTTTACTTTAATTATCGTTTATTTTAAAATTCACAACAGTTACTAGTATAGGCTTTGCTTTTTACCCCGAAATATCCTAAATCCTGGTATTTTTTAAATTGTCTTTATCATCCAAAATATCAGCTATTTTTCCCTAAAAAAGGGAGAATTCCCTAAAAGTGGAAGCACTGCTTCAAAGTACGCTACATTTTTTATTGAGTCAGAACTCATATCTGCCATCTAGTGAGTTTATTAGATCATTAATGCCTAAAAGTTACAAAAATGACGTCGCCACAGGAGTAAGATGACGCTAGTTGTATGTTATTTTCCTTTGTATGGGAGTTGCACCCCCCTGACATTAGGTACATTGACAAATAACGAATAAAACAGATTGACAATGACGTTGAATAATAATAAGATTGACAGTGCTTATAAGAATATGAAATACAGCCGCTGGACGAGATTTCTCGGGTTCTTCCAAATGGTCTCAAAAACAGCCTTAATTTTATTGTAAGTTTATCTAATTCCGTCTCATCTATTTTCATATAATTTCAGCTCAATTAATTAATGATTTAAAATTTCCTTCACATAAATTTTCGCTCTATAGTATTTCTCATATAACAAAAATTTAAAGCGTAGGCTGTATGGTGTGATACCTTCGTCTTTTCTGTTAGAAAAAGTGACCTACATACTACTTTCAAATTCCAATAGCAAAGTATTTATTTATGTTTCACTACAAACGATCCCTCAAATCCCATAAAATTAAAAATAAATACAATAATGGCACAAGCACAGTTTTCGTTAAGTTGGGATTCATATCAGTCAAGTATTTGCGATGGCTTTAGCACTTTGCAACAGGTAAATTTCCCTGAAAATTTAATGGATTGCATTTGTAGGCAATGTATTGTAGTTTTTTAAAATCTAAGTTTGGTTTTACCTACCAAACGCGATTATTTTTTGATACGAATTGTACCATAAATAAAATTGCTTGATGTGTGTTTTATAAAATTTTCAGAATGGTGAATTTGTCGATATGACTCTTGCTTCTGATGGACGTTTTGTAAAAGTTCATCAAGTGTTACTTGCATTAGCTAGTCCATATTTAAAAGACTTAATAGCTTCAGCACCTTGTCCACATCCTATTATATTTCTTAATGTGAGTATTGTTGAATATTGAATAGTATTTACAACTTGTAAAAGTATCTGCTTTAGTGGTTTCTGAAATAATTATACTTCTTTCTTTTCAAGAAGACTTTCGATTCTCTGAGAAAGGATTCTATAATTAAGTTATCTATGTTATATCGAATATACTATAGAAATTAATATGTCAATTTCAGTTAGCAAACTTAATTTCAGAATGTATCCCACCACACATTATGTTTACTTCTAGAATACATATATACAGGAGAAGTAATTGTCGCAGGTGATTATCTACAACAGTTTATTGAAGCTGCTAAATCACTTCACATAAAAGGCTTACAAAATATTGTGAGTATCTAAGATTGTTTTGTTTAACATTGAAATTATTCAAAATTTCTTATAACACAAGTGTCATAGTATAGAGAATATTACAATACATTTTATATATTACATAGCTACAACACTAGACATGCCCCATAGTTTCACTAGTGTTTAATTTTCAATTCAAAATGAATATTGTTTTTTTTCAGTATAAAACGTTTTATAACTAACTCTCTGGTCTGCAAACTATAATTCAATTAGTAGATTGGTTTGTATGTAAGACACAAACCAGTGAATGCACCATTAAATTTGTTAGAATTACCTTGTATTATTGGGTTATTTCGTTTATCTTGATAAAAATTTATAATATTTATTAATTGATGTTATAAAATATGTTCACATTAAATATATAAAAAATATCTTCTAAATCCACACAGCCGTTTCTGTGTTACTAATCAAAATATAAATCCAAAGAATATGAAATAACTCACATTAATATATTTTTATAGATGTACAATTCCTGAGATAAAAACCAAGTAAAAAAATTATTTGAAAAAATTAACATAATAATTAAATAAAATCTGTAGGTTCCAAAATACATGGTAACAATAATTGTATAGTGGATAATATTTTCTGTTTATGTTTTGATGTTTTTAATAGTTTCTTTAGGGCTAGTTGGGCTAGTTGAGTTTCTAATGCATCTGTTGTATTTTAAATAATTTTCAAGATTTTTTTGGTACATTTACCAATCAATCAAAAATCAATCAAATCAAATCAATCAATCAAAAAAGTTTTATTCAACATAAATGAAAGTACATACTTGTTGAACGTCAAAAGAATTACCGCCAATTCACAAGAATTAGCCTCCGTCCTGAGAAGAATTGGCAAGAAACTCAGCGGGCATGTTTTTTTTTTTTTTTAAATATTAGATTTTTATTTTTATTTTAAATATTTTTTTTTTTAAATATTCATATTACAATAAGTAATTATAACATAGCAATTTTACAATATTGAAATTCCCGGAGCGAGCAACTCATTCCCACTTTGTGCAATCTTCTAGATAATCATTGACTTTATAGTAAGCTTTATTGCACAGATNACCAATGATGTTCCAAGTCATCTTTATCTTGTCAGGGGCATTTTTGATTAAATCACTTAAATGTAAAGATTTTGCCGCTAAACAAACTTTTCTAAATAGTTTGGAATAGTTCCTGACATATTGATGAAATGTTTCATCATTATTATAAGCTTTTTCAGAGTACAGATCATACAATTTTTTTCTACTTTTGTACACTCCGGTGGTGGCCCTCTCGCTGAACACCGTTTTGTTTTTTAATGTTACAGTTTTAGGAATAAATACATCAGTACATCAGTACCAAGACTAAAATGGAATATTTGTAAATTGAAACAGTAATCTACCAATATTACACTTTTAATTCTGTAACTACCAACACTAGCAAAGTAATATTCAAAGTAAAGAAATCACACGATGTAATTTTTCAGGTTCTGACCAAACAGTTGTTTTGGTTTAAATAATAATACTATTACCATTTCAGTATGAGAATGGTTTCCTTACAACCTAACATTATGATAAAGAATATGATATCTGTGTATAGTATATAACAAGATATATAACAGGACTAAACTCTTGCCTTAAAGAGAACAAAACATTATTCATTATCCAAGCCAAGTGTAAATTCTTGTTGTTTTACTGCTCACCTACCAAACTGCATAGCTGGAATAGCACCTCAAGGCTACCAGCAAAAAGGTAGGGAAAATAGATTAAAAATGTTTTAGTACATGTTTCATATTTTACTCACACTCTGTTAGAACTAGATCAGCTTTAGCTAAGTTGGATATTATATTATCATTATTCTACAGGTGAGGTGAATTCTTTAAAATCCAAGTGCAAAATTATTAATGATCTAATTAATAATAGTAGTTAGTGTTAATGATGGTAATTAAGGATAAAATAAAATTATTGTGATTATTTATTTAACTACTGATCTGTTTCCAGGGATTTAAAGGAACCAAAAAGTAAATTGTTACTAAAAATGATCAGTAGCAACAGAATATTTAATCTAGTAGTAATAAGTCTTTGATTTCAGGAAGAGTTTTTATAAAATTTGCCCCAATAGAATTGCAGTACTATGTCAAACTTGATTGAAGTTTTTAATTTGATTGCCAGATTCCAAATGACTTCGAAAATAATGAAGAATTCTATCAGGAACATGATGCAGATGAAACTCCTGATAGAAAAGTTACAAAAGCCTCTTCACATTCAGAAACCATAGACAAAGTAAGCTCCTTGTTTAGTTTTTTAAATTTTCTCGTTGGCCTAGTTCTTTAAATCCATAGTAATATAGCCCTTTTCAAAGTGGAACGCTAGACTTGTAAAGTCATATGCTACATGATATTTTTGATACCTAAAAGCTACATGATAAATTGTCATACAACCTTTCACAGGAGCAAAACTCTTGTTCATCCACCACTGTTAATCCTCATATCATCTGGCTATGAAATGAGCTGATTAACTGAAACGGTGACAGTATTGCTGATGTCCATGAGCGACAGTGACCACTTAACATCAGGTGGGCCGTATGGTAGTATGCTATCATAAGTAATAAAATCAAAGATTGTATAAGGTTTGAATTACATTTTCAACAGGTAGCATTGCCCCATATAGAAATACCATCTTTAGCACAGAAAGTGCTTATAAAACATGAAGATTCCAATTTCAGGTACTATATTTTAAAATTATTTCTTTCTAAAGTAACTGTAACTACTAAGTGTTAGACAAAAACGTTCACCTGCAAATCATTGTTCAAATTTTTTTTAACAAACCAACTCATTTTATATAATGATTTTTTTATTTAATTAATTTTTTTTTTTTTTTTTATAATAATTTTATCACTGGTGGTAGGACCTCTTGAGAGTCCGCACGGGTAGGTACCACCACCCCGCCTATTTCCGCCGTGAAGCAGTAATGCGTTTCGATTCGAAGGGTGGGGTAGCCGTCGTAACTATACTGAGACCTTAGAACTTATATCTCGAGGTGGGTGGCGCATTTACGTTGTAGATGTCTATGGGCTCCAGTAACCACTTAACATCAGGTGAGCTGTGAGCTCGTCCACCCACCTAAGCAATAAAAAAAATCCGGAAGAAAGAAATAGCATCCTTCAAATACATATTTTGATTTAGTTCAATCATTTGGTGGCTTGGTGGTGAGCTCGTCCATCCAACTAAGCAATAAAAAAAAAAAAAAACAATTTATAATAGACTTTAATTTAAGAAAATAACATCATAAATTGCTCTGAAGAAAATTAAAAGTGAAATGCCTGTAAATTTATTTAATGCGTACACATTAATTACAGTCCAATAAAGGTCAGCTCTGCAGGATCGTTAGTTGTTGGTATTAAAGACGACTTTGATGTCATGGATTATTCAGAAGCTCATAACAGTGATTTCCCACAGGAAGACCATACATCCAAAAAAATTAAAAATAAATTAATAAAATGTGAATGTAAGTAAGAGAATAAAGATGATTGCTAAATTTATAAAAAAAAATACATAAGTATTATGTATGTTTGTATATTTGTTGTATGTGTTATGTATGTTTTGTTGGAAATTACGAAAACTGGAAACGTCGGATAAATAATTAAATGAAAATAATTATTGCGAGACTCAACCATGAAAGTAATTTTAATTAGATTAAATAATTTGTAAAAATTTGGTGTTTAATAGGCGGGTTTGATTTAAAATATTATTAATGAAACTGTTTTCGAATCTTCATTTCATTTTTGTAAGCAATTCAGTACCGGTTACTTTAAACATGTTAGTGTTTTACTAAAATAAGCATAGCTTATTTCTTTAACCCCATTGTATCTCTAAGTCACTCCGTGCCACCCTACTTCCAATACCGATAAAAAAATTGCAATCTTGTTACAAATCGATATTACAGTTTAAGTATTACCACAATGGCGTTACTCATCTCGTTAATATTGTCCTCTTAGCGTTATTTAAATCTAAACAGCTTTATTTATGTTACAGCGGCTTTAAATCTTCAGTATACCGTTTCAATACGAGGGTGTTTGCAAATAATCCTTAATCGTTACATTTACAACTTGAACTCCTCCACGACCAAAAATGGCTTAAAGCGGTGGCGTTGTGTTAACTACAGAGACCAGAAGTGTAGAGCTTTCGTCGTAACCAAAGGAAACATTGTGATAAACAGGTGAATGAATCGTGAGAATAACATATAATTGATACATTTTTTTGCCTACCTAGCTATCTCAAGGGCTTCACCGAACTTGTGGGAGAACTCACGGGGCACAGTGAAAACATTAGCTAACATTAGCCCCAGTAAAGGTAATCGCTGAATCTATCACCGGATCGGAATCGCCACCCACTGAGAAGATTCGGCGAGAAACTCAGCGGGTTTAATACACAATGAAAATATGCCTACTTCTACTTTTTGTTTGATTTTTTTTTCATACGTTCATCGTGACGACCAAGATGGAAATATTTAAATTAAAGCTATTTGTATCTAAATAGATCTATCTATCTAATAAAAAGTATACTTTTTTAAAGTTTAAAAATGTAGCCACATTGAAAATACGTATAATTATAATTAATTCATAAGATTTTGGAGTCCATAACTTTTTTAGTTTTTATTTTTTTATTCGGAAGTTAAAAAAGACTTGTATCGCTTCTCTGATTAAGTAAGAGTCTAAAATATCTTATAATGTTAACATATATTAGACGTTTACAGAAGAACATTAATATAACACTACTCTGACTGGAGGTAAAGCAAATGGGCCCGTATAGGGAGGTACCACCACCATCTACTGTTTGAGGATTAGGACAGCTGTCACACAATTGAGTCTTCAACCTAATGTCTCAATGTCTCTGTCACGCACCCACGTGGTAATTACATAATATCACTGGCTCTGATAATATTTTGCTGCCAGACGGACTATCTTCTGTTTCTCCACCTTACCCCAAAAGAAAATAATTTTTTTTTATTGCTTAGATGTGTGGACGAGCTCACAGCCCACCTAGTGTTAAGTGGTTACTGGAGCCCATAGACATCTACAACGTAAATGCGCCACACACCTTGAGATATAGTTCTAAAGTCTCAGTATTGTCACAACGGCTACCCCGCCCTTCAAACCGAAACGCATTACTGCTTCACGGCACAAATAGGCGGGGCGGTGGTACCTACCCGTGCGGACTCACAAGAGGTCCTAGCACCAGTAATTTTTCTCTTCCATCCTTTTCTATCAGCCGTCAACTCAACACTCACTCCTCTCTCTCATATCGTCATTCACACACTCCATCCATGTCTTCTTCGGTCGACCTCTTCCCCCTCTATCTTGCACTACCATTTCCATAAATCTCCTCTCTATGCATCACATGTTCATACCACGCTAACCGTCCGCTCCTTAATTTGTTGATTACCGGGGCTATTTTCACACTTGCTCTGAAGGGCCAGCTAGACGGGCTATCATCGTCAAGAAATATAAAATAAAAACAGTACTATTACTTCGATAAGATTATTACCTTATTTTTTATTAATATCTTACTAATTTTATTGTTAGGGCAAATCCGCACAATCACAGTTTCCACGACAAAAAAATTTTGGCTAAAATCGAAAAGAAAGCAGTGTTCTCGGCGATGGACGAAGTTGAGGAATACAAGGAACGTAAGAAATTAAACGAAGAAAAGAGTGAAGATTCCGAAACGACCGTCGAAACCGAACATGTTATGTTGTTAGAGGACGATGAGAAAATTAGTGACAGTTAATAAAAGATAGTTATTGTTGAAATAAAAGTACAAAAAAATCATTTTGTTGTTTATTTAACGAATATCATTAATCAGTTCTGTTAAAACCCCTACAGCTTTTATATTTTCCTAATTATCACTTTTTATTATTGAATACTATTATTGAATTAGGATTCTGTTGTAATAACAGCGGAAACTGACAGGTAGGCACTGTACGAACATAGACAAGATAGTGTTTTTTTGGGGCGTTATGAGTTCCAATTTAGGTGAAATGTTTATTTTCTTTCGTGCGTTCTAATCGCAGCTAGCTGAGGTAAACTATTGACGCCATTTTAAATGTAAAAAGTTATGCAACAGAAAAGGCTATTTTATGATACGTGATCTAGAAACCCACTGAGTTTCTCACCGTATCTTCTCAGTGGGTTGCGATTCCGACCCGGTGGTAGATTCCGCGAAGCACTGCTCTTGCTATTGCTAGTGTTAGTAAATTCTCTCAGGTTGTGCCCGAGACCTAATCTACCCGTCCGGGCGTAGCTGGAATAGGACCTTGCTACCACCACTACCACTGAATAGGTAAGTTAAAAAAATAGTGCTCTAGTTGTCGCGGTTGTTTACACTAATCGCTGTTTAAAATAGCTTTCTAATTATTAATATTGGTTTTGGCTTCAAGAACAGTTCAAATACATAGGTATACATGAGGCCTATAAAATCAAAGACAGCTAAATCCAATTCTGTCAAATATTCAGGTAAACTACAAAAATCGGCCCTAAACACGTCATTACGGATTCTCGTGATCTATCGAAGTATAGCTCTTGCTAGGGCCAGTGTTAGCAACACTTCCGGTTTGAAAAACTGAAATAACTTTGTTCGGGTAGCTACGATATTCTTTATTTTAAAGCAAATTTATAAAGAATGAGAATATTACTAATAATCTGAATTTTAAACTTCGTTTATATTTAAGTACAGAGTAGAAATAAATTTTTTGAACTGAATTTGCTAGAGATTTTGCTGCATTCGTTATAGGTATACACTTTTTTCACTTGTCACTCTATTCAAGATCCTAGGTCAGATCTCAAACGACAAACTGTATCCAACTCACAGTTGGATGCGGTTTTCCCAAGCATGAACTTCGTGCTTCATTCAGTTTTTGCGACATTTTTATTTTAAGCATACTTTCAGTTAAATATTTTGTTATTAGTAAAAATTTGAAAATTGATTTCTATTTGTGTTTCTAACATCCTGATAGGGTAATGCGTAGGTGCTAATGTTCTAAAAAAATAGTCGCGTGTCAAGCTCGCAATTTTCGTTTGAAAACCTGGATCTGCTGTGGGAATTCGGTTCTTTCTTTTTTGTACCGTCGTTCCTCGGAACGTGCTTTTAGAAATTGTTTCAGATGATCACATTATCTCCATTTTACCGTCTCATCATAGAATGTGGAAAGGTGGTGGACAGGTCCACCAGAAGTATTTTTGACACTTACCAACCGGTTCTATAAGTAACTCAATTCCATGGTGTTTACAGAACATCATAATAAATCGTTCTACAAATGAGGTTTGAAGTATTCACTCACCATAAAAGCAATAAATAGGATGTGTTACGGAAGCAAGACAACGCATTGAAAAAATAATCTTTTAAAATCGTTCGTAGCCTTTTAAAAAATATTTTGGAATAACATACACCTTGTACCTATGTTATTCCAAAGTAATTTATATTTATACATGTGAGGCCTATAAAATCAAAGGCAGCTAAACGCCTTAGAATGCAGTAAAATGGATTAACTATGGCGCCATCTTGTTTTGTTAGTTGGACACGCTTTAGTATTTTCATGTTAGTACGGGCTTTTGGGATTCTTCTCAATCCTGAGTGAACTTTCGCACCTATCAAAATTATGTACCTACTATGTTCAGTAATACTATTTGGGAGGTCGCCATTTTGCTAAGATATATAGGTCTGGTTTATGTTTATGTTTATGTTTGTTTTTGTGTATTTATCTCAGTAAAGTCGGCTATAACACAGTGATTACATTCTCTTTTAAATAGGGTATTATTACATCATTATTTGAAATGATAAAAAAAAACTGACATAACTAAACTACTTTTGTGGTTTAACCTTTAAAAAATTCCGACGTTTCGAATACAGTTTCGTGGTCACGACAGAGGTGTTATTCGTCGACAATGGAATATTGTGATAGCTACAATTTAAGTTTGTATAAAAAAAAATAGACATTTACGTTTCCTTACGCTTAGAAAGAACTAACTAGGTCTAGTTGTCTGCTGGTTCTAGTAGGTACTTCTAGGTCTAGTAGACAAGGCGGTGTCACTGGTGTCCCGCAATAGCCTGACGGACTAGAACCAGCCCGCGAGGTGGGAACGCGATACATCACCAACCGGCTTCACCCCCTTAGGCCGACAGCCTGGACGGTCTGATGAACTGCCGCACCGATACGGTCATCGTTCCAGAGCCTCTGTTTCGCCTCGAAGGCTCCGTCGGTCAGGCTGTTAGGATTAGCCGCACGTCTGGTTGCAGTGTTGACCGCGGTAACCCCCTTACCCCAGTCGGTTTCTGACCTTGAGGAGATCGGACGCTTGGGTGACAGTACAGGGGAGTCGTTTAGTGGGTAGGGCTCCAAATTCCATCTTTGGGCCCGCGGTTCGCTCCTAACATCTGCGGACCGTCCAGCCCCACACGGCGTGCCCCTGGGCCCGGGAACCTTGTAGGAGGTTCGGCCCTCGACCCAAAAACAAGCTGTTCTCGCTTAAAATATCCTTCACATACTACAGGCGTTGAGTGTCACCTTGAGCTTTGTTCACAACCAACGACAGACAATCATCACCAGGGTCAGTTATACAATAATGCGACTTTTTGCTACATCATTATTTGTTTTAATGATAAATAAATAACAATTTGAATAAATTTTATTATTAAGAGGTAGTCCAAGAAGTCCAATTTACATTTTGTGAACTTCATTTTCGTGGAAGTGGTAACAGAAATATTACAGCTGTTACATACGATTATTCCGGTAATTAAAATAGAGCTCTACACAAAAAAGAAGGTGCTATCATTGTGAAAACCAATTACAAAATTGGACATAGATACGCTCCAGACCACTTGCAAAATGGCAGAATTCCTTAAACATGACAACAGTTCAGGGTTATTGTGACAAACATAAATATTTCTTTTTGTCAATCTCAACTGGACGGCGTGGATCGAAGCTACTCTGCTCACCGTGCTGCTTTGATTTCTGACGTTACTGAACAGTAACAGCAAACTATTCATGAGTTGGCAACATCGAAACTATGCTGTGAATTCTAAAAAGAAACAATTTCGCGGAAACATGGATGATGCATTGCGATTAACATTTTAACACCAATCACTCGGTTACGTTTTCAAGTCCAAACCCCTCAACAAATTATGATCAAGTTTAATGGTAAGCAGTTTATCCCCTACTCATCTTGTGAGTCCTCACGGGAAGGACCACGACCCTGCCTATTTTTGCCGTGAAGCAGCAATGCGTTTCGGTTTGCAAGGTGAGGCAACCGTTGTACTACTGTAAAAACTGAGAATATAATTCATGTCTCGAGGATGGGTAGCGACAGTAGCGTTGGCTCCTGTTACCAATTAACACCAGGTGGGCCGAGAGCTCTAAGTAATAAAAAATATGTAACAAATTCGGTATGACCATGGTTTGAACTCTGGGAATATAGTCTTAACTTTCATTTCACTGCTGAGCAGCACTCTCCACCTACGCGACATAAAATGTAGTTAGTCCACGCGGGCGAAACTGCGCGCCAAAAGCTAGTTTTAACATAAATTATGTTAATAGACTAGATAAGGCGGTGTAGAACGATCGATCTATTTTTGACAAAGCTGTGTTAGCTCTTTGTAACGTCGGACATATTTCAGTAAATATTTTCTGAACGTACATAGACGTAAATGTCTCATTTAAAAATATATTGCGTTAATTATTGGTAAGTTTTATTATTATTAATATTTTGGATGCAGAATCAAACTGTTGGACTCCGTATTGTAAAAGAGTTACCGTTACTCATCGGCATCATTCACGATAGTGCTGCGTTTTCAATCCTAAATTTCAAATGGATTTCTATAACGGCTGTGTATTAATAATAGTAAAGAATTTCAGTTTTTAATTCAAATTCAAGCTTAAGGGAATTAAGTGATTTAAATAACTAGTCAGGCCAACAAGTGTACAGTGAGTGAGTGAGTGTGAAAACACTACACACATTTTCTACCGTATTTTTTGTAATATTGCGATCCGAATGAAGTTCAGTCAATGCTCAAATCGTCTAGGTGTCTAATGTCTATGAATTTGAGCCTGACTAACGTAATATGGGAATCTGGATTCGATTACCGGTCAGTGTCACGATGCATATATTTCCGGAATCCACAACTGGGAATGATCATAGCATTGAATAATAAAGGAAGTTGCTAATTGAAGGGTGCACGATAAAAACTAAAAATATTGAGTCTTCAGTCTTGTTTAATTTATAGATTTAATCATTTGCGAAATAGCGCAAATGCGTTATGCCAAAAATGTTAAGCACCTATTGAAGTCAGTAGTTATTTTACTATAAACGTTATTTGTAAATGCGACCTTAACGCTCCATTGTACATTTTTTGTTTCATTTATTTTTATTACTTGATGTTGTTTCTTCATAATGGAAATAATTAACAAAGCTAGGCTAGTAATTTGAGTAGGTATTTAGCGATTTTGATAGTTGTCCAACACTACTGCCTGTTTCAATTTTGTACGGTTACCCCTTCACTCTTATTTGATAGATAGGACTACCCCGAAGATAAACTAATATATATATTAAATAAAAATAATACATATCACGTATTCACAGAGTATTGTATGTTTCACGAATAATATTGTGTAATGAAAAACATTCTGGCAGAATAAAAAAAAATCTTACTCTCACGCGTTTCTGCTAAGATCACCATTTGAACACAAGCAATGACAATCATGTAGGTACTATAACATCTTCCACATAAGAACCTTAAAAGCCACGAACCTTCTGCTTAAGATAGTAGTAGATCTTAATTTGCATTATTAATTAAATTGTTGCGCACTGAGTTCAATACCTTTCTTGTTATCGTTGTTTTAAATAGGTCGTGATAAAAATAACCTGATACGTCAATTTAATTGAAATTGAATTAAGTGAAAAATACGTTTTGAAAGTGTATTCTTAGAAAATTAATTGTATGATTCATGAAAAAACGGCCATTCTTTCAGATTTTTTGTTCACAATAAAAATAAAGTAAACTTGAGAAAGTAAAATACTTACTGCTTAATTTTTTTTTTCTATTAGTTTTTTCTTTCATACCATCCATTTTTTCGTATGTATTAGTGGTAGGCAATGGGACTATTTCAGCTTCTTACGGGCACAACCTGAAAGAATTTGTTAATAGCGAGCAAGAGCAGTGCTTCGAAGAATTTACCACTGGATCGGAATCGCGATCCACTGAGAAAATTGGGCTAGAAACTCAGTGGAATGTAGGTACCTATGGGTTAGTTCGCTCGTCGAACTCTTCATCGTAATTGATGAGTTCGATAAGGACGTTTTTTTTCCTACCTATTCTAGTGACCTCGAGGGGTCATACTAGATTCACCGGACGAGTAGTTGAGCTCACGAGGCTCTAACCTGTGGACGTTGCTACCACTAGCACTAATGACGAGGACGATGACCGGTGCTTGAAGGATCTAAAAGCACCGCGAGTAAATTCGGACGATCCGACAAGACACGTTTCAGACGAGGTCGACGGAATCGACGGCGGCTTTGAATTGCCCCGTCACCTGGGTCGGATATGTATTTAGCAGCGGCTACGATAAGAGGGTTATCGTGTCGCGTCGCTTTGTTGAAGTAATGTTCTGACGCTACCTTAAGATATTTACGTATCTAAATTAAAGTCGTCGTGAAGGCCGACATTCCTCACGTACAACGGTGCTTCGGCGGATATCCTGCAGAAACGATGACCTGGAGAGAGACTATGTGCATGCGGGCCGCGTGAGCAAACACTACATTTACATAGGTCATGATACCATGGTTTTTGTAGATAAACAAAAATGGAATACCTTTAACTTCAAGTAATCCGTAATATCGACCGTCGATTTTTATGTAACAATAGATGAACTCATCCAAATTTTTTCTGTGGTAAATACTGCCACGAGTGTCGGGAAAAGATCAATAATACACAAAATCTTAGCTATTCATCCAATTTAATTTGATTACCTTCAAAGTATGGTCCCTTAGTAAAGATACAATTACGACAACGAATAATTGAATTATCAAAACATTTTATAACACGTTTTTCGGAATTGAGTTCAGTTCTCGCTACTGTGGCGAGTAGCCATCATAAAAAACGTAAGATAATTGTCAGAGGCCTGAATCTCGCTTACGACATTTTCAAGATAAAGCGCATATATACAAGTTCCAAACAACAACAATCGGACCGTCGGTCTACCGAGCAATATCAGCCGCTCGGTGGAAGATCTTCTCTCTGTCGTTTAAGCCTCCCAAACTACGAATTTGCTTTTTTGCTTCAAGCAAATAAATTGACGACACGACTGTTTACTATTCCAGTAGAAACAAGTCCCTAATCGCGGAGAAGCTTCAGAGCGCAGCCCTAGCCCTAGGACAGTGTAGGAGTGGGTAATATCGGTTTTGCCGCGTATCGAATCGTATCTATATATCGAGGATCAATATCGGATATTGAATCTATATATTTTCTGAATCTATATATTGATGGATGCTAGTAGATTTTCTCGATTCATGATATTTGAGCCACTTCGATAAAGCGGCACGACACGAGAACCCTCTCATCGTGGCCGCCGGTAACTACATTCCCGNCAGATCCAATAACCTTTGCATTAGACGCCTTCAGCTCTAACACTAGGAGCAGGCTTAGGGACCTCGGTAACCGTACTCGTCGAACTCGACAAAGAGTTCGCCGTGCAACCTAACCCATGAATCAGCTCGCTGAGTTTCTCGCCGGATCTTCTCAGCGGGTCGCGATTCCGATTCGGTAGTAGATTCATTCGCGAAGCAGCTGCTCTTGAGCTGTTAGGTCTCCTTCGGAGGCATTCGGGTAGCTGTTAGCAAATCCCACCCCTCCTGGCTAAGCCTTTGCTCGCCCACCTGTCCTGGTGAAACTGGAAAGGCCTCCGGGCCACCAGTAATCCCTCAATCATAAAAAAGAAAAAAAAAACAAATAAATTGTCTACAAAAAACTGTATACAATTTTATCCTATCAATAAAAGAAGCTAATTTATACAAATTACCCCGGAGTCAGCAGTTTCTACTATAACTCTTTTATTTTGTAGATTTCAAAACATTTGTTGTGAAGATGTTAAAATTTTTATGGTCTGTATTAATTATAATAGTCACGAGTGTGGAGACGGTTCCAGTGAAGAATCAATATGAATGTTATTTGAAAAAACCGGCAGTTCAAAGATTTAGGGAATACCTACAGATAGATACAAGTAAAGAAGAAAACTTAAGTACGTAAAAAATATTTCATATTTCGATTAGGTTTGGGTGTTTCTCTTGCTAATAATTAGGTATATAATACAACAAGAGTATTTTATACTGCTGTGACAGGCAAACAAGCCAAAGGCGTAGTAGATGATAAGTAATTCATCGGTCATTGACATGCAATGCCAGCCATCTAATAAAGAAATCGCTAACTACTGCGAATTATTTTAAAGTTAGTTTGTAGAAGAACTCGTAGCGTTTGGAGAAAAACGTAAAAAAGCTTAGAATCGCACTGTCGGTCAACGTAGCGGTACTAGGTGGTTGGTATAAACAGCGCTTTCTGGCGGATGGTTTTTTTAATTTTTTTATTGCTTAGATGGGTGGACGAGCTCACAGCCCACCTGGTGTTAAGTGGTTACTGGAGCCCATAGACAACTACAATGTAAATGCACCACCCACCTTGAGATATAAGTTCTAAGGTCTCAGTATAGTTACAACGGTTGCCCCACCCTTCAAGCCGAAACGCATTACTGCTTCACGGCAGAAATAGGCGGGGTGGTGGTACCTACCCGTGCGGACTCATAAGAGGTCCTACCACCGGTGAAAAAATGTGTAATTCTAACCCGATGGTAAATCCTATCTTACATTGTTTGAAATATGCATTAGTGTCATGTTACACATAATGTTATGCATACAATGTATGTGAGTATATTAAATTGTATTAGCAGTGGAATGATGATAATTTTTTCGTGAAAGTGATTTTGTTGCATAAGTTTTATGTATTTGCACAAGACTATATTTTTTTTATCAAGTAATTTAACATTGTTGGTAAGTTACCTAAAATATGAACCTTGTGCTCAGCTTATACAAATGTAGGAGATGTGTACATACAAGCCTGCATAATAATTAGATTTACTTGTATCCATTTATTTTTAAAGATGGAACAGTTGTTTTGAATACTTCGCGATTCTATTGTATGTTAGGCAATGCTGATGAGTAAGCAATGTAAAATTTTAGGGTTGCCAAAAGTAATTTAAATTTAAAAGAAAGCATGTACCAAGTTTTTTTTTATCATAATGGAAAACGAGTTCATGCTCTATGTTTTTTGTTTTATTATAATTTTCATTTTTATTGCATAGACGGGTTAACCAGCTCACAGCCCAGTTGATTACGGGAGCCGATAGGTATCATGTTACGAATGTGTCTTTCCACTTTGAACCACAATATTGAAGTCCCAATTGTAATGAACAACGGCTATCCTAACCTAAACATGTAGACATCACTGATTTCTTGGCTAAAATAAGCAAGACGCTTATAGTACGCCCTACTATTAGTAATTGCCAGTTTATCATGATGCGCTGCTTTAATACTCAGAGAGCGCTGCTGCCGATTTTCAAGTGAAATCACTAGATGCTTTTTACAAAAATTACGCTAAGGAATGGGGTGATTCTACTCTGAAGTCCAATCGTCTGTTAAATTGTACCCTGATAAAGTCGCATAGCTTTATACGAGTACATGTCCGCGCGGGTAGGTACCACCACCCTGCCTATTTCTGCCGTGAAGCAGTAATGCGTTTCGGTTTGAAGGGTGGGGCAGCCGTTGTAACTATACTTGAGACCTTAGAACTTATATCTCAGGATGGGTGGCGCATTTACGTTGAAGATGTCTATGGGCTCCAGTAACCACTTAACACCAGGTGGGCTGTGAGCTCGTCCACCCATATAAGCTATAAAAAAAAAACACCCGGCGAGTTATCCTTTAGGTCACGCCTTAATTTTTTGCGTTTCCTATTTGTTTTAATATTTTACTATTATTTACTATTATTATATTTTTATATTATTCATATAAAAATAAAGATGTCAACAATTTGAATACATAATTTTAGAGTATGCCATCGAATTTTGGAAACGCCAAGCATTGGAATCAAATCTTCCCTTTAATGTTTATAATCGACCTAATGGAAAACCTGTTGTCGTAATTACCGTGGAAGGAAGCGATCCGACGCTACCGGCCATCATGCTAAACTCTCACATGGACGTTGTGCCTGTTGAAGCGGTAAGAAAAATGAAATCAAATATTATTTTCACGAAAATTCGTCATACAAATTTCATCGCTCTTACAGCCAAACTCTTAACTACAATACCAAATAGTGTATTCTATTTGTTACTATGGTACAGAATTCGGAGAATCATATAGATCGTGCATCAATAATGCACGCATCATTAATGATGACCATAATAAGTTTGTCGAAATTTTGTTTCTTTTTGTGGTATAATATCACGTATTCCATGGGGAGTGTTCTGAAGGTTTCTTTAAAAAAAATCCATCATCTTTATTGACAATCCCACAAGCCGCCACTGGAGCAAAGTTCGACCTTGCTATCTGGAATCGGTGCGCTCTTTGTCATTGCGGTTCAAGAGTCTTATAATGTGCTACTTTTTAGTCAATAGTCTTGCCCCATAACAACCGAGCCGAGAATGAACTTCCCTACACACTATTTCCTTTAACTTACGACATATCCCTCTGGAAACGAAGTTCAAACGAAGTTCAGTTTTTTTTTCTTGTCTTGATGGGTGGACGAGCTCACAGCCCACCTGGTGTTAAGTGGTTACTGGAGCCCATAGACACCTACAACGTAAATGCGCCACCCACCTTGAGATATAAGTTTTAAAGTCTTAGTAGAGTTACAACGGCTGCCACCCAATTCAACGAAAGTCAGCGATTTCGCTATTCCGATGGTATTGCATCCCTAATCGACTGTAACAACTAAACTTAAACGGCCGTCTGGTGTAGTGGTGACATGGTCACTACACAAGGGGCTCGCGGGTTCGAATCCCGCCAAGGGAAGATATTTGTATGGTAAATATAAATGTCTTTTCCAGGGTTATGGATGTATATTAAACATATGTATATGTGTATAATAAAAAAAATTACATTTATTTCCGTTATCTGGTACCTGTAACACAAGTTCCTTACGAACTTATCACGGGAGCAGTTAACGTGGTAAGGTAAAAAAAAAAAAACTTTAGGTGGACTGAATGATCGTAAAGACGTACACAGATTTAAAAACAAACTAATTGCAAATTTAATGATGATAAAAGAGTAGTATATGGATGTAAATGAGAAGACAACGTTTCAATACATTACAGTAGGTAGGTCTACTGTTGAAACTAATATCATTCGTAAAATAGAACTCAATTATAAATATGTATAGTGTTTTATTTCTAGAAACACGATTAATATAGTAACTTAGATGTGTTGTTATCACTCGACTTTGACAAAAACAAAGCAAGGTTAAATTATAATAATAACCGTAGATTTACTATGGTGTTTCATGCTTGTATGTTTTGTGTCAACAGTTCTAAGACAGCGCGCGTCATCGCTGTGTTAAGAAATATTCTATTGTTCGGCTAATACCGAATGTGAAACTAATAAAATTTCAGAAAAGTATATTATGTATTATTATTCTATGTATTATAAGTATATCGAATATCATTATACTTCCAATATTTAAAAAACAAAAAAAAGTACAATAATTTCAAGAGAATCTAATCGAGAACAGATGTTATTAAGATTTCTCACAATTTAGTTTTTCTGAGTAGTAATAGTAGTAAAAAACACAAATATTTTTACAATAGAAATTTTTTTTTTTTTAATTCAGGTATTAATGATGGACAATATACTTTTCCGAATTATACTATTAGCACATTGTTATATACAAGAGATTTTGTACATATATTAACATGAAATGCTACTCGATTTTTTTATTTTGGGTTGACTTCAGTGATTCGCCGTAAATTCAATAAGAATAAATTTATAATTGAATTATAATTATCATTATTTTCATTTAGTCTGAATGGTCGCACCCGCCGTTCGCTGCAGCTATGGATGAAAATGGCGACATATTCGCGCGAGGAGCTCAGGATACAAAGGATGTTGGGATACAATATATGGAAGCTGTTAAGAGACTTATTCGTGATAACGTAACGTTGCTGCGCACTATATATCTTACGTTCATGCCCGGTAATTGATGTTTATACAATACTTATATATTAAAATGCGGTACTTATTTAATTAGGATTTTCTTTATGTATAAGACTATAAGGAATGGTTCTCAAATTTCCTGACGCAATAGAAAATATTAACGAAAAAAAAACTATATTGTACGTTGCTCGCAATATTTTTTTAAGTTTTTAGAAACCAGTTGATAAGAAAGGGTTCAGGGTCATGTACAATGCGCGGTGGACAGTCAGCTTTCATTAACTTAGACTGCATTTTTCGTTAAAGTATTTCAGCCCTATTGTCTTGTGAATGGTTTTTTAACATCTTGTATACAAATTGTAGCGGTAGCTATAATAGAACAGAAGATTTTCGATAGATGCCTGTCATTTTCAAGAAAAGTTTGCCGCTACATCAATTCTGAATAATATCATTTGAACCGTATGTCTACCAAGCAATATCAGTCGCTTGGTGGAAGATCTTCCCATTTGTCGATCTTAACTAATCACCACATCAAAAATAAATAACAGATTCAGAGGAAGATGATCATTGTTACTGGGTGATGAAAATATAATAATAATCGACCCTTGCGTTCATTAATATCATTGTGCATTTCTAACTTGAAAATATTTCAAAATTTCAGATGAGGAAACTGGTGGGTACAAGGGCATGAAAATGTTTGTAGACACCGCAGAGTTTCAATCTTTAAACATCGGTTTCGCACTAGACGAGGGATTATCATCTACAGACGATACATTGTTTGCAACTTATACAGATCGGAGACCATGGCGTAAGTGATAAAATAGTATATAATACAAAAAAATATATGAATAAAATACTACATTTTCTACTATTACATTGCATTTCCACTATCTACATTTTCATAAGTTTAAAACTAAGTTCGCCGTATTTAAACTGCTTTTCAAATCTCAAATGTGGATTCTGATGAAAATGGAAATTCTGGCGATTAGAAAAAAATGTTATTCGAGATTTCTTCTTTATCGTTCCCTCCCTGCTGAGGATCGCGACCACATGTGACTTTCTTCCACAGTGTTCGGTCATGGGTGGCATGGACCGCACGGTATAGACTACCATCAACCGCTTCTTTAACCAGACAGATATTCGAGACAACAATATCTTATGTAGGAATTCATTTTATTCAGAAGCATATTCTGTTGCGTTTGATATTTTCAGAAATCCAGTTTACGGTTCACGGTGTGGGTGGGCACGGTTATAGTATGCCAGAGAATACCGCAATGGAAAAGGTACGGCCGCTATTGCAATTTAATTCAATAATCATCCTACTTGTATCATGACAGCAGTTTTACGCCACTATAGTAGAATTATTTTGTCCGTGCAGTTTGGGTCATAAAAAATCGGAGCGGTGAAGCGAGTATTTCGCTCTCTCTTCCACTCACCAGCCTTATGGACGGGCATAGTGATGCGCATTATTGTTGTCGATAAGCGTTATCGATAGTGTATTTAGTTTTGTCATTTTGTGGGTTAGTGATAAAAATGAAAGTAAAAATCACTAATCGAACACTTACACCACATATCGCCGCAGCAAGTTAACGAGAACGGCAGAAATTAACACTTTGTAATTTTTCGGGAGCTATTCTTATTTCAGTGAAATTTTTTAACACATTGTTGATAACAACACGTGCAAATATTATTAAAATCTGCACCGTGCTGGTATCATTGTAAAAATATAATCCTCATTTGTATTAGTTGCCAACAAGAACGTCGAAAAGAGCAAGTCTCCTGGATGAGATCTAAAATAACATACTAAACTTTCAAGAGTCACACCCCAAATTTTAATTTTAGCCCATATTATAACAATATGTACTGACAATTTACATACACGAGACATGAACAACTACATACTGAATGGTAAATATTTTTCACAAAAATACTGACCCGACGGTCCATAAGAACGTTGTTCATTTACAGTAATATATAACGAAGACAATTTTGCTCGAATTGGTTCATCTTTGGTTTTGATGGTACCCTTTAAGTTTCTAGTCACGTTTTTTTTATTGCTTACTGGTGCTAAGTGGTTACTGGAGCCTATAGACATTTACAACGTAAATGTGCCACCCACCTTGAGATATAAGTTCTAAAGCCTCAGTATACTTACAAAGGCTGCCTCATCCTTCAAACCGAAACGCATTACTACTTCACGGCAGAAATAGGCAGGGTGGTGGTACCCACCCGTGCGGGCTCACAAGAGGTTCTTCTACCACCAGTAAAAATCTATGGATTGACTCACATACATACTGCCTGCTTCGGCTACTGCTTGCCCCGGATATCTTTTGAGAGAATCATTATCAAAGTGGAATAGAGTTTTCTTTTAGTATATTCTTATGCAATCGAGACTTCGACATGCGAGAGGCATTCAAAATCAAAACATCGTATTTTAAGGTGGTTCATGTGTAAAACAATGGAACGGCTTAGTGTAATTTTGTAATGAAACGAGTCATGTTACATAATATTTCATTGCTTAATACGCAGGCGTATAATTTAATTGACATAATAAGCAAGTATCGAGATACCCAAAGAAATTTATTGGAATCCTTAAATAGCCCCGATGAAGGAAGATACACCAGTGTCAATATAAACATAATTCGTGTAAGTAGTATCCAAAACTGATATAGCTATAAGAATTGAAAATGATTGAAAACTGATCGTGTGTTGCAGACAATTAAGTAAGACTTGCAAATAGTGTTTTTACAATACTAAAAAATATAGCATTTCAGGAATTCTGCTTTCGTCTAAACAGCAATTAAGCACCCGAGATCGCATCACGTCTTACGAGTACCATAAAAATACACTAATAGTACAAACATTTAGAAAATATAATTGTTTTAATCACTGTGGGTAGGTAAATCGAATACGTCGTGCCTTTTTTTTAGCTTAGATGAATGGACGAGCTCACAGTCCACCTGGTGTTAATAATAATGAATTAACTTATGTATGATGAAGGGGCTGGTTCGATGGTGTTTTTAAAATGATAACATCGACAATAGTCACTCGTATTTATAGTAGAGTAGTGGGGTAGCTTAGTGATGAATTCTCTTGAATACCGTCTTAAACAGTTGTTTAGGTACACACGTACCATTAAGGAAACAGTTGACTTTTACCTTCTTTTTTTTTTCCGGGCCGGGGCCGAATCTCCTACGAGGTCCCCGCGCCTAGGGGGCGCGCGGGGTATGTGGCACTCAACAATCTGCAAGGTGTTGGGAGCAGACCGCGGGCCCAAGGAATTTTAGGGCCCACCCACTAAACGACTCCCCTGCACTCTTACACACGACGTCCGATCTCCGTCCGGGGTCCAAACCCCGGTCAGAGTAGGGGGGTTCCCGCGTCTACACTACAACCAGACACGCGCCAGCCCGAGGACGCCCGACCTACGGGTCGTCGAGGCGATAGTCGACGACCAATGACGTCGGTCTCCGCGGTATGGCGGCCCTACCATGCCGCCTGGGCGATGCCGCTGGTGTTCCGGGATACCCCGCTGGGCCAGAACCAGCCTGCCGGGTCGGAACGCGATACACCGCCGACCGGGTTGCTCTTCCACAGTATGTTCGGCGACGACAGCGACGACGAAAATGCGGACCGCATCGCAGTCCGCAGCCGCCGACGCGTCGTCCCGTCCTCCTGGTGCCAGTTTTAAGTTAACTAAATTGTCACGTTGCGCTGACATATATTTTACCTTCTGCTTTAAAACTTAGAAATAACAGTTCTTGTAAAGTTACACCAAGCTAAACTGACCTTCATGAAACATGAAAACATCTGTCACAAAACATGAGACAGACGGAAAACAAAACGAATTGTCATACATATCGAATAGATCTGATGACGTGTAATTCTTCAAACGAGTTTTGATGAGAATTTTCAGCAGTAGCAAAGTCAGAACCTTGGTTGTACCTCGGACTTTGATGACGTCCATGAGCGTCAATGACCTGAGTGGTCATTGACGCTTTACATGTGCTTAGAGATACAAATTTTAGAGTAATTATTTTTCCCAATTGCTTTTCAGGGTGGATACGCTACGAATGTTATACCAACGAATTTTACAATAGCTATTGATATGAGGTTATCAAGGGATGCAAAAATTTCGGATGTTCAAAATATGGTAATTTAAAAAATTTACAGATATAATAAAAACAAGAAGGAAAGAGATCTTAATATTAAAATAATTTTCTTAGACGAGATAATTTGTACGTTTATATTACATCCCTGATCATTTCCGATCAGAAAGTCTAATATGTCATCAAATATGAAAATAGACAGTGAAAGCGCCCAATTTATGGCAAAAAATTAAATTAAATGCAGTCACGTTATGTGATACAACCATATTGTATCACGTGGGCTTCACCACCATTGAATCACTCATCTGAAACTGGACACTTACCACTCTTTTCTGTATTTATGGAGTTAAAGAGATATGGAATTAGTAAATGCGACGCGAAATGTGTTCACAGGGTTGTCGTTTTGAATTTTCTGAAATGAAAATATACAATGTTTTCTATGAATTCATTTACTCTAGAACGATTTTTTTTTAATTGCCTTTGTAGGCAGACGAGCATACGGCCCACCTGATGGTGAGTGGTTACCGTCGCCCATGGACTTCAGCAATGCCAAGGGCAGAGCCAAGCCGCTGCCTACCGCTACATTTAGGATTGTAAAATATCAGAAACATTGTTCTTGTATTATTGTGACCCTCCTGATCTTAATGAAACGTGAAGAAAATGAACAAAGGCAGTTCTCCGGTAATCTGGACGCAAACTTTTTACTAAATGGCAGGCACATAGGGTGGATGACGATCATGATACTAGTCTCTGCAATTTTAATGTACTATGCCTACGGTATACTGACAATGGGCTTGTCATCAGATACGACAATATAATCAAGAATAACGTACAATCCTCAGTAAGAACATTATTTAAGTTAGATCGTTTAAATTCTTAGGTAAATACCTGGATGGAAAAAGCAGGCAATGATACTGAATTGAGTTTTATTCGGCGTGAAGACTTTTCAGGGGAGACTGATGTAGATGATTCAAATCCATTTTGGGTAGCTTTACGTACCGCTGTGACTAGTATGTGAGTATTACATTGCATAATTAAAAAAATGCATTTCAAATTAATATTATGCGAATGTTTTTGCATTTTACGCTAATGTAGTTGTTAGATAAAAAAGTCTATGAAATACGAAGCGAAAGCAATTGCGCTTAAATTTGCGGTCGGTCTAAACAAGACCATGTATTTTACAGTTGTTCCACATAGTGTTTTTTTAACAACAAGAACAAATACCAATTACTCTAGTACATGAAATTATTCTATATCTTGATGATCTAGTAGATGTAGCCCTAAACACGTCATTACGGAACCTTCCGATCCATTAACTGTGCTTTTAGGTACCTCAAGCACCCGTAGCCGTCCTCGCCGAACCCGTCGCTTGCGACGAAGGGCTCGACGAGTAAGCTAACCCATAGACACAGCCCACTGAGTTTCTTGCCGGATCTTCTCAGTGGGTCGCTTTTCCGATCCGGTGGTAGATTCTGCGAAGCAATGCTCTTGCTAGGGCCAGTGTTGGCAACACTCCGGTTTGAGCCCCGTGAGCTCACCTACAGCCTTAAGAGGCTATCAGCATAAGTAAGAAAAAAAGTTATGTAGTTGTTGAAATAAGGTGATTATTGTCGAATTAGAAACATTGGCCGAACACTAAATTAATCTTAAAGTAGTCGATTACGAAAGCTTGTAAACAGCTTATTGGACAGAATGTGCTATAAGAAATTTTAATTACAGTTTGACATTTTTATTTACATAATTTAAAGAATACTATTTTTTAAATTTGATGAAATTAGTAAATATTTCGATGTCAAATTCCAAATTTAATGATCCTGTCTAAGTATAAGATAAGAAGACTAAGGTCAGATAAACATTACGCATTCAACAGACTCGGGTTAAATCTTTGATGACCCGGAAACGCTAGCCTATTATCTAACAAAGACTACTAACCCAGACCTTGTGATTTCACTAATCAACAAAGCGATCGATGTAACATAACAAGACTATCTATTTCAGGGGTTACAATGTCAAGCCGGTTGTTTGTTTGGCCACGTCTGATATGCTTGTGTTACGGAACAGTGGCGTACAAGCCCTCGGATTCGCCCCGAAGATCCGCACCGTTTCAAGACTTCACGCTAAAAACGAATACCAGAACGTCGTGGTATTTTTGAACGGCATCGATATCTATTACGAAGTAATTAAAAGTATTGCCAATGTTCCCGCTTAGTATTAGATTTTTGTTTACTGTCATTATTTTTTTGTGTGCATGAATGATCTTGACTTTTTGTTGTATACTACAAGGTCTACAAGATAAGACTTATAATAAAACTGAATGTTGGCCACGGCTTTGCCCGCGTTGTCTGGGAAAAATGCGAGTGTAGTTTCTAGTGGGTAGGAGTTTTTTTTTTATATAAGGTAACATAATATGTCAGTGTCCTGACCTAATAATATCAGTTTAACAAAAAAATTCTGTTGCTTCGTTTTGATATGAAAGAAGACAAACATAGACGTTTTTTACATTCCATTACATTTGTAATATTACTATGGATTTGCAATATCAGTAAGAATAAATGATTTGTCATATTTGAAATATATTTGTTATAATACCCAATAAAAAACAGAAATATGGATCGCATCGTCTAATTAGATTATTACAATCGGCTGCTTTGAATCACTTTCCTTAATATTTTGAAATTCCCTTAGCTCATATTCAAACGGTTTATTCAAATGAGTTGGTATGTAGGAATTCATTGTATTAAATGAAATGGATGTAAATCGTATTTTACTCTTGAACAAACATTCCGTCGAGCTAAAACGGCTTGATACAAGTAAAGCGGAACTGATTGAATTCGCTGGTAATATCATACGGTTGAGCATTCTTATCTATATCAAAATATTAATGTGTTAAACATATTGATAGTTATAGGTTAAAGTTTGTAAAATACCGTTTGATTGTGTTTCATTCATGTTTGATTTAAATTTATATGTGTATTACTCAAGGTAAGCGAACACCGGCATTATGAACGCGCATAAATAGTTAGTTTGATTATCACAGTTATAAAGTGTAAAAGCCAATAAAATAATGAGGATATGTAGTATGAAAGTTGAAAACGGAAAGCACGGGTAAGGGTAACATTAAACAACCTTGATCTGGGATTTTGTTCTGTATTATTGAGCACATATACATGAAACAAGAATACGATGACTCCGAATTTTCGATGTCTTTGACAAAGATACTAATTCCAACGTATAATCTAACCCGAATTTAACCCCGGACTCGTCGATTAAGTAGTCAGCGTCACTAATCTCTTGACCAACGAGTCCTTTGAACATTCTATCATTTACTGGTGGTAGAAGGTCTTGTGAGTTTGAACGGGTAGATACCACGACCCTGCCTATTTCTGCCATGAAGCAGTAACGCGTTTCGGTTTGAAGGGCAGGACAGCCGTGACCTTTACAACACTCAAGGGGGGTGCCGGCATTTACGTTTTAGATGTCTATGGGTTCCGGTAACTACTTGTGGGATGTTTAACGACAAAGATCTTCCACCGAGCGGGTGATATTGCTCGGTCGACCGACGGTCCGAATATTGTCGTTTGAAAATTGTATACATATATGCAAGCTTATGTTGAAAACGTCGTAAGCGCGTTTCAGGCATCTGTCAAATAGTTTGCGTTGTATGTTAGTAACCGTCACACCACTTAACACCCGGTGGTCCGTGAGCTCGTCCACCCATTTAAGCAATAAAAAATATCCTATAAACACATACCATTTTTTTTAATTTTTTTTTTCATTCTTTATTAGAGCCATACACACCTATTAGGTTAAGTCGGCTATACACATACCATTATTATAATATTTAAATTTGATATAATTTTTGAAAATAAAGTTTTTTTGTCACTACCGATCATTTCTACTTCCGTGTTCGAAGCGCGGAAATCTTAAAACCAACAATAGCCACTTCACAGTAATGGGTGCCTTCCCACCGTACGTGCCGCAACATTTTTAAAAGGACTTTTTCGCGATCTGTCGCTATTGTTTGTGAAGCGTCGCAGTCCGCCGTCGTCCAGTCCAATGAGGATTTGCGAGTTGTCACGCTTTTAGCGAACAAATGAATTCTGTTCAATGATTGGGATTTGTTGAACAAACCGTTTAGCATTGGTTCGCTAATGTTTTTCGAGCGATTCTTTGGGGTTCGTAGCCTATTTGATGATTCGTTTCATTTTATTCTAACTCTTGTCTGACTGGTATATAGATAGGGTATCTGTACTTATACATATATGGTAATATAGTGTTGATGGTTTTTATCAGATAATGTTTAGATACTCTTGTTCAGTAATTTATTCTACAATGATTATTAGTATAAACTTCCATTTAACCGAAGAACAATAGTGTTTGAACGGAATAAAATTTCAAAGAAAAAAATCTGGTTAATTGTATTCGAATGTAATGAGTGGGGCGCTGCGGGCGTAGTTGAGCGTTAATTGAAATAAATTGTCACAACTGAATGTTGCCAGTACATAAATCAGAGCGCCTCGGGCGGGCAGCTAAGTGCCTGCTACTAAAGCTTTGCGCCGTACAAAACGTATAGACATGACTGATTCAACTGTTTTAATTTTTATCAATAATTCTTATAACGCTAAATTTGCTGCAGTATATTGTTACGCGCTGGGGTTCGCGGGTACGGGATAAATAAAAATTCTACCGGAGTACAACTTAAAAACTGTATTTAATACTTAGAACACTTAAAACTCTCAATTTGCTTCTTCCGCTTCGCTTCAGGTGATCTGTTTGCTGTTTCGCTTCGAATAGTTCCGATTACTGACTGACTGCGTGCCATCCCTGCAACGCTATTATAGTCGATTCCTCATCCCTAGAATTATCGAGAATGTTTCACGTCTCTAGTATTGTTTTCCACTAGCTGACAATAGATGGCGTTGTACTTCTCGAGCTTTTTAGGTGCTTCTAGATCCTTCGATATTTGTTGGACTCTTCGGCGATAGATGGCGTTACTCTTACCGGCGTAACAATATATATTAGCTTATTCTGTAGCTTTATTACAACTTATTAAGTATAACTTCACGGTGTCAAGGCCGCTATGCTGCTAAGCTTGCCTATGCCGTTAAGTGCATTTTGCGAGAGCTTGATGAGTGTAGCCAGCACATGAGTCGTAGCTGCGAACATTCGCCTTTTTTCGCTGTTAAAAATTACCTCACTAGGTGGAATCGGTATAAAATGGAAATTAATTTTGTATTTGAATTTTATTTATATTTTAAAGACAGCCCGTTTGCTTAATATTCTGAATGGTAGATCTTGTATTAAAAAAAAAAGTAGTAATGGCAGTTCCTAGTTCCGGTGGAGGACCGGCCCGAAAAAGAAAACCTAGTTCCTAGTAGGTAATTGGCCGAAACGGTAATGGCGCATTTAACTAGTTGAACTTCGAACTTTTAATATTCAGGCTCTTCCAATAACCTTAATATATTCTTCTCTCCGTTTATATTTTAGTGAACTCCTTCAAATGGTTAGACCGATTTTGAAAAAAAAAAAATCGTCTGTGTTCCAGTGAATTAAATAACGGCTTAGATTCACAATTCGGTATTGTAAAAAAAAACAGTCCAGACTGTCACAATTTATTAAAAAGTGTACTTAAGCTCGTAGGTATAATTTTCAGATATGATACGCGTGTACAGGATAACGTTCGCTAGGAATGTATAAATATATTCTATATACCTACTAGCTGACCCGGCAGACTTCGTAGTGCCTCATTCGATAAACAAAATACCTAAAATCCGTCCGACGGGGGACACATCAAAGGATAAACAAAATTGTTTGTTTTTATATAATGCCGATGTTTTTCATATTTATTCACCTTTTGAACCTTCTCTGGACTTCCAAGAATAATTCAAGACCAAAATTAGCCAAATCGGTCCAGCCGTTCTCGAGTTTTAGCTAGACTAACGAACAGCAATTCATTTTTATATATATATAGATTATATATCGGTGTCCTGTCTACGTGATTTAAGGCGCCATACAACAATGACGCTAAGAGACACCGTAAGACGAATTAATTCAGTCGAACGCGGCGAGAGAGCGCAATTTTTACACGTTGCGCTCATTTGTCACCAACTCGCACCCACCCTTGCAGGTGCGTTCCACTCGCAACGCTAAAAGCAACACTCAGATCCAAAAAAACATGGATGTGGCAAATAGCTTTTGTAGAACATGAAAAAACCGTTGAATTAATCATTCGATTAACATAAATACTATCGTTGAATTATTAATATGTAACTTTCACTGGAGTGTGTTACGTATAGTGACGAAAACGGCTGTATTATTATTAAAATTCTGAATGAATATCAATATATTACACCGGCGTAACTCTATACCTAGGGGAGACCGGGGCAAGATGAAGTTCGGGGCAGGACGGGAAATAAGCTTGTGTTCATGAATGGTAATCGTGTTCGGACCGGTAACGGCACCATTTGCACGAAATTCAGACTGCGCAAGTGCGTCCGAGCAGAGCGAACGTGTTGGTTCTCGTTTTTGCGTTATATAGGAAAAAAACTGATTTTGCAAGGGTTTTTATCCGATTTTTGGTTAAGAAACTGATGTGCAGACATGTAAGTACTTGAATTAATATAATGTTTTAATCCTCAGCGTGTTGTAGTACTATAACACTTTAAATTCAAATTAGATTTTTGCGCCGGTAAGAATTAAGATTAGAATTGCTTCAACTTATTTGAATACATGTGGGTCGGGGCATAATGATCGGGGCATAACGGGATACTATCCCGTTTTGCCCCTTCCTTGTGTTTTAAATAATACCTTCTGTGTACCTACTTAACTATCGATAGTATTGCAACCTCGTTTTGCAAGCGTCCATAGGCTACGGTAACCGCTTTCCATCAGGCGGACTGTAAGCTTCTTTGCCAAGTACATATTGTTGTAACTTCTACATTAGCAAGATGTATCGTTGCTTTTCTCATAAAGTTTTTTTCTCAGATACAATGGTTCGGAACTATAAACGAAAAACAGATCGTGGCAAATGGGACCCTGAAGTTCTGGGTCTTATGCGTTCTTAATAACAGGATGGGGCTTTCTCGAGCCTCAGCTACTTAAGATGTTCCGCCGTCGTGTAAGAAAAGCTCGTGATACTGTGGATGACGACACTGATTCCGGTAACGACTAAGTATGGGAAAAAGTATTTGTGACGATTGAAAACTGTTTTTACAGCAAATAAGAAGATGAGTTGGCGCAATGTGTGTTATGGAAGCACGGTTAACAGGAAAATAGCTTCGTTTAATAGCTTATCAGTTGGCTCGGCGAAATCATATAGATAGCCCACTTAATGAAGAAACCGGCATGGCAGGAGAAGATTGGCGTAAAAAACGAATACATAA